CTTATCTCATGTTCTACTTTGGAACTGGATAGGTTATTATATTTTATCTGTATCTGGATTTAAAGCCATCTAGTTTCTCTATTCTCTCTCATTCTTCTTCAGCTATGTGGCTCTTTCTGGCTGCCCTGGTAGCCCTTTGGTTCCTTTGCCAATGGTACCGGGAAAGACAAAAGGTGGAGAACCTGATGGAGAAATATGTCTTCATCACAGGCTGTGATTCTGGCTTTGGGAACCAGCTGGCCAGGCAGCTGGATGCTCGGGGTCTGCGGGTGTTGGCCTCTTGTCTCACTCCAGAAGGGGCAGAACAGCTAGAAAAGGTCACATCGGACCGGTTAAAGACCACTCTGCTGGATGTCACCAACACAGAGAATGTTGCAGCAGCAACTGAGTGGGCGAAAACCTGCGTGGGGAACAAAGGTGATGAAGTCTGTTTATTATCTTATGTGGTATTTGTGAGAGCAGTGGTCCTGGTGCTTTGAACTCACTAGTATGGACGAGTGCTCACTTACCATTTTCTTGTCTATTTTAACTTGTATTCCTAATCTGTTTTTTACAATACTGTTTTTGATCGGTTGGACTGTTTTTTCCCTTTGTGTAACAACAGATGCAAAAAACAAGCTAAACAGCTCTGCTTTCACCCTGTTGCTTGTCACCATCTTGCCACTTTTTCCCATTGATTGATCAACTGCTTCCTTGGCTTTTTTCTTGTTTTTTAAATGTTCTTTCTTTTTTACATTTTTGTTTTATTATATAAAATATAAAATCCAAAAAAAGAAAAGAAAAGAAAAAATTAAGGGAGGGAAAGGCAACAGGAAAACAGGGTGTGGAATATAAGGGGAAAGAGAATAAGAAAGAAAAGGGGGCATTAACTTCCACCCCTTCCTAGTTCAGTACAAGACAAACACTCCAGCCTTAACTTTATGCTTTTACACATTAATATATAACTAACTATTTCTATATCACCAAATCTTTCTAATCTACAAAACGAAGATCAAAGTTCCATTTTTTTCTTCACAAGCACAAATTCCAGAAGTGATATCCAAATAAGAACATGTTTTTCTCTTTAAATAAAGTACTCAAATTAACCATTCCTGCTTTATCTTCCTTACTATGAAAATAACATGTAATTCCATTTGCACCTAGTAATCTTTATAAACTGTCACCATTTTTATTTACAAAGTTGATTATATTCTTTCAAATTCTTTGCCCTAATAAAAAAGGGTGGATCTTTTTTTTCCCTTTTACCCTCCTTTTTTCCTTCAAGGTACTAAACTTTTTTTAAAATAAAAAAGGAGGCACTTTTTTCTTTTAAGTCAAAACTTCCTAATACATTTTATTCTTTAACTTTAACAAACAAGCTTTAAACTTCAATATTGCATTTAGCTCCCTCCTTCCAAACTACCCTTATAGAATAATTATTATTTTTCTTTTATAAATATTCTTTTTAACATATAAAGTTTTTCTTTAAACTAATACCTCATCCTTCTCAGCTGTGGGTGGCTAAAATCTTCTGATTCTGATTAAAAGAGGAAGCCAAGATGGTTCAGCACCTCCTACAGTATCATTTCATCTCTGTTAATGAGAATTAAGTCCAATATGGCTGATCCCCTAGTTGCCTTCTCTACTTTTGGGGGGAGTCAAAATTGTTTGCTAGGTTTATCAGAAACCTGTTTGATCTTTCACTTGGTACAGAGTTTGTCTCCCAGTTGATGTCAGGATAGTTAGTCCTCCATTACTGGCGGAATATGTGCCTACCTCTTAAAAAAGCTATCCACTACCATAGCCAAACCTCTAAGCATAATCTTTGAAAAATCTTTCAGGACCAGCTCCTTGTCAAAACTATGGTCACAAGCCACGGTCATCCACATCTTCTAAAAGGGAGACCCCAGCCTAGTTGAAAATTACAGGCCAATCTCTTTATGCTGCGTCACCTGTAAAGTCATGGAATCAATTATTAACCAATCCATCATCCTCCACTTAGAGATAAACAACCTACTCTCTAATAAACAATTTGGTTTCAGAAAAAACTATCCTGTAATCTGCAACTCTTACACTGCAAAAACATATGGACAACGCAACTCGATCAGGGCAAAGCAATAGACGCAATCTACATAGACTTCTGTAAAACCTTTGATTCAGTGGTACACAACAAACTACTCCTAAAATTAAAATCTTATATTATCTCTGGACACCTGCATAACTAGATAGAAGCATTCCTGTCAAACAGGCAACAAATGGTCAAAATTGGGAATCAAATCCTGTACCTGTCAACAGTGGTATCCCCCAAGGCAGCGTTCTCAGACCAATTCTCTTCATACTCTACATAAATGACCTCTGTGATCATATTAAGAGCAACTGTGTTCTTTTCGCTGATGATGTAAAGCTATTCAATGCCACCGACAATACTGCTACCCTTCAAAAAGACCTCAACTATGTAAGTTCCGGTTTGCAGCGCTTCGGGGCAGGCAGGAATCCGCGATCGTGTGCGATTTCTGCATGCACTCGCCGCTGGAATGCCCTGAGCCATATGGCTTCAGAGCTAGCCACCTCCATAGAAGGTGGTGAAGATAGGGGGTATCTGGCAGGGTCAAGAGAAATCGCACCTCTCTTCCCTAGCCAGCTAAACCCCCTTTTCCGAAGGCAGTAGAGCGACGGTCAGAAATGGCTGCCACAAAGAAGCGCTCAGCCGGAAAAGAAAGTGCAGGAGGAGTTGAGAAGAAGTGAAAGTTTTTTTGTTGACCGGGACAAAGCAACAACGAAGGTATCCTGGAACTTAAAATTTGTGCAAGATACATCGTTCCCAGAGATTTACAAGCAGCGAATGGAAGTAAAAGGGAAAGGTTTTTCTTTCACTCTCCTTCCTAATGGTGACAGCGAACAGAAATACATGAGAAATTGGAAAAACCTGCTTTGGCATCAATAGGTAAACTGGATAATTAAATGCTAAAGGGATAATAAGGTTTTCTGAACATTTTTTTAAAAAATTTTTTGCTGTAAGTGGGAAGGAAGAGGAAAAGAATTGGAGCAGGATTTGGAAGTAAGGAGGAGATTGCCTAGAATTTTTAAAGAATCATTAAATACTAGCAAGACTTCTAAAAGATACATTTTAACTGGAACTTTGCAACTAAACAGTAACCCCAGAAAGAGAAAGTGAAGAAAGAAGAAAGTGCTAAAAGAAATAGCTTATTTGGACTGTTTGGTGACTTTGGGACTTTTGGAAATTACTTTTGAAGGACTAAAAACACTTGGGTGGTTGTTTTGGGGAAAAAAAATTCTTTCTACAATGGCATCACTTGTGGATGAATTGAAAATTGAATTCAAAAAATACAAAGAAGAACAAGAAGGGAAAGATTCTCTTGGTATTCTTTTTCAATTCTTAGAAATGGCGATTTGCACCTATGAGAAACTGACTGCGCAACAAGATGATTGGGATAAAGAAGAAGCCATCTTTGATGAACAAGTAACTGTATTTGGGGAAGAAAGAGAGAAGGAGGAAAAGAAAAAGGGGACTTTAAGATTTAAAAAAACAACCAAAAAAGAGAAAAATAAGGTGAAAAGTGGATATAATATTAGAAAACAAAAGAAAGGGGGAATGCAGAAGAAGAAAAGGGAGGTGGAGAGACAAGGGGGCAAAAAGGGCAGGGAGAAGAAGAAGCAAGGAAGGAAGGAAGGGATGAGAAGCCCCAATGGTGTGGAGCAAGATGTAAAGAAACAAGATTCATTTAGAGATAATGGGTAAAATTTAATTGAAAAAGGGATTCTGCAAAGGTACATAAGATTGTATTGTTATATTTGTACTTAGAAATAATGTTAGAAAATTGGAAACAATATGTGATCAAAAAATGGGATAAAATATTCAGTGTAACTTAGTGAAATGTTTGTGAATAAAAGGAAGGCAGAAATAAATGAGAGAATTGAAGTAGGAAAAAATGGGAACATTTTAATGATACAATGATTTAAAATATAAGTGATGTGAAGTGGGGGGGAAATAACTATGGAAAGTATAAGTGTTCCCATAAAAGTATGATATTTAATTGAAAAGTAATGTGTAAAATGTTTAAGATTTAAATGAATATTAATATTATTATTTTTTAGAAAAACTTTATTAATTTTACCATTAAAAACAACACATCTACAAATTATATACAGAAGAGAAAGCAAACAGGCCTTGGCAGAAGCCGAGAGGGAAAGAGAGAAGGGCAAATGAGGGAGGAGAGGGAAGGGTAAGGGAAAGGGGGGTAGAATGGGAAAAACAGTTAAAATAAAACCATATTTTTGTGACTGTAAGATCCTTTCTTCTTCAAATATATCATCAGTGGTACTTTTCATTAACTCTGCTTAGGTAGCCCTTGGCTACAATTTTTCTCGAAATAGTGTATCTTTGATTTAGCCAATTGTACCAAGGATTCCAATTGTTATAATAGGTTGAGGATTCTTTATTTTTTAATGATTGGGTTAGTTTGTCCATTTCGGCGCATTCTAAAATTTTCTGAATGATCATTTGTTCAGTGGGGATAGAAGGTGATTTCCAGCACTGAACGAATGCCAATCTGGCCGCGGTTAGGATATGAATTATAATATACTTCAATTTTTTGGATACTTGTTTGTCAAAAATTCCTAGAAGGAAGGACTCTGGTTTGTACTCAATTTGTTCCTTAGTAATCTCCTCTAGCCAATGCCTAATTTTTTGCCAATGTTTCTGAGTTTCTTTGCATGACCACCACATATGGAAGAAGGTACCTTCTATGTTTTGGCATTTCCAACATTTGGGACTTGTGTTGGGGTGCATTTTCGCCAATCTCGAAGGGGACAGGTGCCATCTATAAAACATTTTGTATGAGTTTTCTTTATAAGCTGCTGATTTCGTGATCTTAATGTTCCTATTCCAGATCCTTTCCCATTCTGCTAGAGTGATACTCCGTCCCACGTTTCTGCTCCACGCAATCATATTTCCCTTGACAATCTCTTGTTCTAGTTCTGTTTCCAATAAGTGTTTGTAGAATTTAGATATATATTTTTTTATTTGGTCCTAATAGAATTTTGTCTAAAGTCTGCAATTTATTGTAGATTCTGAATTTCTTAATATCTTGTTTATATCTTCTATGGATTTGAAGGTACACCCACTGATCAATTATAAATCCTCGCTCTTGTAATTCTTTTTGTGTTTTCAGCTTTCCCTGTGGGTCTAATAAATTCTCATATTTAATCATTTTAGTTATATCCGAATTATTAGGGTGTACTATTGCTTCCATTGGAGAAAGCCAAATTGGTATTTTTAGATAGAGTTTTTTACGTACTTTTTTCCAATTGGTTAGCAGCGAGTCCCTGATAAGGTGCCTATGGAAATATGATTGCCTGGGTTTCCCAGTTTCCCACAGGAAGGCGTGCCATTCTTTCTGCATATCTTGGCCTTCTAA